ACAGCCTGCCTGGTCCCGAGTCTGCTCTCTGACAGCAACCAGCCCCACGGGTATCAAAGGGAAACATTGCAGCCCCGCAGCCAAGGGCAGAGCCAGGCCTCCCAGACAACAGCCTACTCTTAATTAACTCGAGCTCAGTCTCAGCCTCTCCTCCAGGACCCTTTCTGCGAGCGTGAAGCACAGCCAAGCCTCTAAGCACTCATGTAAACACTCGGTTCCTCCAGAAAAAGCCAGTAACTCATGTGACCCACACTATTTATTTTTGTAAGACCATTTCTCCTACCCTGGCACTGCAGATTCTGCTTTTGACACCGACTTTTCTCTTGGAGACCAAAAGGCACGAACCCTTGGTGTTTAACCTCGCCATGCCCTGGGTCCCCGGCTTGGGACAGTCTTCCTGTGCGGGTGAGATGCTGAACACGGAGGGATGGGAATCCTATAAACACTCTTCATTATTCCCTACCCCCTTGCTGCATCTTTCCAGCAGCCCTGCTGCCTGCATGCCTTCCCCAGCCCTCTTATTTGCTTCTGCCTCCCAGTCCCGACCTCCCGAAGGCACTTGGGCCCCCATCCTCCCCCAGCCCGTCACAAGTCAGGAGACTCGGGTGGGCTTCAGCGGACACCGGGGCGTTTCGCCGCCAACGTGTGTTATCCTTGGCCCCATCGGTGAAGGCGGGAGGGGAATCTGCCGCTCGCAGAGAGCGAGGCTTGGGGGCCAGGCTGATGGCAGGAGCAGATGCTGGGAACCAAACAGACTGAAATTACAGAACATCTGGCCGGGAGCAGCCACAGCCACCCAGGCACGGTGGCCAAACACCAGCCCAGCTTGCTGGAGTGCTCCTGCAACGTGCACCACTTCAGCAGGGCCAGAGCAGGACCCCCGCTCCTTCCTCTGCTCTGAAACCCAAATCCCTCCTCCCTCTCCCATCCCACGGGGTTTCCTCCCCATGTCCCCACGACCCCACGGAGCAGCTCAGCACCGGCTCCAGGGTGCAGGCACAGTGCTCGCCTTTGGTCTCTCCCATCGCTCTCCGAATGGGCTGTGAGACCGAAGCGGTCGCTGCCAGGCTGCCGGGAACAAGCCAGGCTCTGTTAGCAGAGCCTGGGGACAAGCGTGCTCTCCATCCACCCTTTTCCTGGCAAACACTCAGCTGCCATCAGGAATCATTCAGCGAAAAGGCAGGGCCGTCCCTGGACGCTTTTCTTGTAAAATGATATCAAGAGGAACCTCACGCCCGTTTTCCCAGGGTAGTGGCATGTTTGACCCTGTGAACACCAGCGATCCCACTTTGCAAACCCTCCTTCTCCCAACCCCCCCATCCCCTGGGGGGTCCATAAAGCTGCAATGGCAGAAGCGTGGGGAGGGATCCATCCCCACGTGGTTGGCATCACCCGGCTGCACCCGAGCGGGCGATGCAGGGGCACTTGCGTTGGGAGGTATTTCCAGACCCACGTGTTCCCAAACACTCTGGGGAAGGGAAGAGTGGAAGGCACCTCTCTCCCCCGCATTCCCAGAGAGGCATTTTTGGCTGGGAAGGAAATGGTTGCATGTGCTCAGCCACAGCGGGAGCCAAGCCCTGATATTTGGCTCGGCAAGAAGGTCACAAGAGGCAACCCGCTCGCCTTCCTCCAGCCAAGGGAGGCTGAAAGCCCAGACTCCAGCCAGACACACGCAAGACCCCCACAGCTGAGCTGAGGTGCCCACCAACCCCACGCCACACATGGCGGGGCACACAGGGGCCCAGGTGAGCTGCCGATGGTGGCCACAATCCTGAGCAATGAGGGGTGGCAGCCCTCGGCCAGCCAAAACACCAAGCATCTGGCTGTGCTTCCCACTGAGGAGATCCAGACTGAGCAAACACAGAAAATAAAGGATAAAGCCATCGATTGAGGAGGACAGCTTGCCCTGGCCCTCGCCCCTCGGCACAGGGGCACGGCCAGCCCTTGACTCACATCTCCAAACCCTTCAAAGGGCTCTTTGTCTCCCACCAGCACCAGCCCGCTTGCCCAGGAGGGGGGCAGAGGCATTAGCCCGCCTGTGGGGACGCTGCGAGCCCCGGGGATGGCGAGGAAGGAGCCGCACGCACCCAGGGATGCTCTGCTGTTCCTTCTGCAACGGGATGGTGAAGCCTCGAGGCAGCTCTGCTCGCCCACACCAGGCTTAAACCCCTTCAGAGGGGGCTTGAGCCGGGGGCCCCTTGCCCATGCACGGAAAACGCGTGCGCTCCCCAGCATTAAGCTGATATCGCAGTCGTTTCGCCCCCCACATTTGGGGCGCCGGCTGTGCAGCCCAGGCCCCCCAAGCCAGCTCACTCCAGCTGCGGACTTGGGAGCTGATCCCTCCAAAGGAACCTGCCGCTCTCGCAGTCCCAGCCTGTGATTTATTTAATTGATCTTTGGATAAAATCCTACATATATTTCCAGTTTCCCTGGGAGGTTTGGATTCTTTTTTCCTTTTTCCCCCGCTTTGGCATCAGCTGTGCTCTCCCTGCAGGGTCAGAGAGGAGGGGGAGTGGGGAACGCAGCCGGAATCAGATTGCAACCTTCACACGTTTCCAGGCTTTTGGATCCGTGTTTCCCACCAAGAAAGCTGGAAACCTCAATCTGTCAGGCCACCTAAACAGAAACACATGGTTGCAGCTCAGCTTGCCAGCCAGCAACGTAAAGCGAGGAATCAAAGCGAGGGAGAAATGAAAGGGCTGACCCACGGGAGAGGGGTAGGCAGAGCCAGCGCAGGGCAGCCAGCCGGGGACGCGGGCAATTCGGTGGCTCTCGCAAAGGAGAGGAGATGAAAGATGTCCAGAGCTGGAAAAGAGCAGAGGAGTTTGAAACCTCAGGGCAGAGAGGAGAGGGATGTTGGCAAGCCTGGGAAGCCCTGCCTGAGGGGATGGGGAAGAGCACGGCTGAGTTACACCCGCTGCAACTGGGGGAGATTAATCGAAATTTCCATCAAAACAGGAGCTAGTTGCATGTGGGTTGTGCAGCTAAACACACCATTCCAGGGAAAAAAAAAATCCCACAGAAGCACTTAAAATATTTGCATTAAATACCCAACAAGCCTATCAGGATTAATAGCATTACAGTAAATTCCAGACAAATTAATAACCATTAGGCCGTCACGTAAAAGCACTCCTGGAGCTGGCTGGCCTAAGCCTCACTGTAAATCACTTTGCTATCAGTAGCCAATCCTCCCTTCACAAACCAAGTGCTCCTTTTGCCAGCAGTGCCTCATGATACAAATAAAAACATCCAGACGGCATCGCGTGTCGGCACCCTGGGTCCCCGCAGCCTGACAACGAGGTGCATCTTCACGTTATCACAAATAAAAACCACCAAGACTCCCCCCAAAAATTGCACATCACTTTTTTTGACTTATAGTATTTTTTGCGATCCAAAAGCACCAGGATAAAAGCTGTTCAGGAACTCAGCTCTTACCTACTTGCTGTTACGTATAGGGCAAAGCTTTCAGAAAGGTGCCCAGGGAGGAAGAGGGATGCTTTGGGGTCAATGAAGCACTGGGGAGGATGCCTCTGATTTCCAGCTGCCACCAGTTCGCTGCATGATCTTACCCAATTAATCCACCACCCTGGCTCAGTTCCCTCCCCTTTCCCACCCAGCAAAGCAATTTTGCATCCAGGGATTTGCAGCCCAGTTGTCCCATCGGCTGCGCACAGCTGGCCCTGGACCCCGACTCATGCGCCCACCCCAGCCCCATCGGACATGGAAAGGGAGAGGGAGGCTTTGTCTGTACTGCTGCCATCGCCGGTACAAACCCCTCCAGCCTCAGCTCCCAGAAAGTAGAAAAGATGAGAAAAAAGCTTCCCAAAACCATAAAAGATGAGCAGAAGTGGGGGCAGGGGGCGGATGGGGAGAATTAACATCTCCAAAGCAATTACATCACCGCGTCTCCCAAACAGCTTTGAAAACGTTGACCTCTACCACATTCAGTCCCTGAGATTAATTACCCGGGTTAATCGCAGCTGTAATAACCGCCTTAGTCAGCATTACGACACCCTCTCGTCCTGCGGGTCTGCTTCTTACCTGGAAAAATGATCCCTTTTCCCTGCCTGTTCAACAGGACTGGGGTGGAGGAAGCTCCTGCCTTCCTGCAAGGCTTTTTTTTCAGCCAGGATTTACCTACTTTCTTTATGCAATCATGGTTTTCACCCTGCCCTCCTGCTGCCGTTGGGTGCAAGGAGGCACCCGTGGGTAGCTCATCACCCATGAAACCTGCTGCTATTCTCCCAAAAGGAGCTAGCGGAGGCACCGCTATTTCTGTCGGCATAGCTGGCGTTTTGCCCTGGCCATGCAGAGCAAAGAAATCACCAAGCCCTGATTTCCCACCTTAAGGGCTGGCTGACACTCAGACAGATGTTTTCTATAAATAACAAAATAAGGAGCACACAAGCTGCAGAAATAGGGAAAGCAAATCCAATTAGGTTAGAAAAATTCTTTGCCGGGCCTTGCAAAAGGTCTGTGGTTAATCATCTCGCAGGGTGCATCTCTATCAAAACAAGAGAGAGATTCTGGGGTCCTAGTGTGGCCTCTCCTTTGGGGTAAAACCTGGCTGTGGGGGCAGGGAAATGCATCCCCATCCCTATCTCTTTGTCCACTTTAGAAATAAGAATGGGAAAATCTGAGCCAAAAAAGGGATTTGCCAAGAGAAG